ATAGATAGATAGATAGATAGATAGATAGATAGATAGATAGATAGATAGATAGATAGATAGATAGATAGATAGATAGATAGATAGATAGATAGATAGATCTGCATCCACCCATAACTGAATTATTGCAATGTTTTTCCCATAACTACTGGATGGACACCAACACTGACGAAAAAAAAGCACAAGTTTCCCAGGTTCCAGCTTTCACCCTTAATAATCACTGTATATTGTACATGTTATTATTTATATATTAGGAGCTTCCCACTTTCTGTGCGAAGATGGTGTTGGACTGGCTCTCAGCAGAAAGACGATGACATCTTAGTGTAACATGTAAGAGCTTAAGAGAAACATATTTCACTCCAGAGCTCATAGAAGGCAAAATAAAGCCAAAAGCAAGAACATCTTCACAAGACAGCGTTATTCTGTTTGCTGATAAAGCCAAATGCTGTAAAGTGATAAGATGTTTGTGGGTCTTCAAGTAGCCATAAAATCCTTTTTAAAAGCTCTTAAAGGGAAACTTTCTCTTCAGCTTGACTCAAGTCAAATATATTATATAAAATATAGGCTATAAGTCAACTACTTCACTTCTCAGTAGTTAAAGGCCTTTAAAATCTAATCAATCAACTTCACTTTGCCTTAGATGAAAATACACTTTTGTAGGATTATTTCTGGTGAGAGCTTCGTGTATTTATATTTTTGGTCTGTCACTTCTCACAGATCTAAGGTGGGAATGGTTGTGTTGGAAACACGTGATGTCACATGTTTTCTTAAGCCAATCAGAATTTAACCGTATAGCAAAAAATGAAATTGGTATATGATGACAGCTGCAGGGCTTGTTGTATTGTGTTGCCAGGGAAACCCTACTGTCTGTCACAGCTGAGTGGATAACACAAATGTTTCTTTGAAGGACATATTGCAACTCTTAACTATTAACATTTACTAAGTTGTGTTTATTGATTCAATAAATTACATTTTAAACAGATAACAAGACTTCAAACCAAATTTTATCAGATAAATTAAGCTAATTCAGAGGTACCTAGAATATCCATGTGATAAAAGGCATAATGTCAATTTACTCCCAGCAAATTCTAATTTTGGATAACTAAATAACTTGAGTACTTTGACTTTGATCTCTCTACATTTCAATGAATCTTCCTGGTTAAATAAAGGTAATAAAGGTGAGACAGGGTTTAAAATCAGCTGTCTCAAATGTTGTTTAATGGTAAGTTACTCATCATCCTTTTTACACACTATATAATACATGATTGAAGACTACAGGCAATATGGAAAAAGCAATTACCTTCACCAGTGTGAGCTAAAAATTCTTTATGAATGTGTAATAATTAGTTTTAATTCTTTCATATGATAGGAGACATTTAGCATAGTGGCACATTACATTAGCTCTATGTTGAAGATAGGTCCTACAGAAATTATTGCATTGTATGACTGCTGGGTATCAAGTCCTTTTCCAGAATGGACTTGCTAATTTCAGCTTAGTTGTCATTGTTTAGAAAAAAGCATACGTAGTTTTTCTTTTGCAGTGTTTTTTTTTTTGCTATTTTAGTCTATTTTTTTATTAATGAGATAAAGGCTGACATCTATCTGCAAGCGTTTTTTTATGTTTTATTAGACAACATGTACTTAAAGTTATCAGTGAAGTATGTAGCTTTATGTGAATTCATCGGTAGGAGGGGGAAGAGGTATACAAACAAGAACTAATTCAATAAAAAATACATTTTCACTGCATTCGATTGTGTGTAATTTGCCTCAGTGATGTAACCTCGACATTCATTCCATTTGATTCCAGTGTGACTGAGAGACGCGGTGATGGATAAATGGCTGGTGTGATCCGTAATTCGCCCCCAGCTAAACGATGAAGAGCAGACAGATGTGTTTAAAGAAATCACACAGCCCTGTGGATGTGTTTGGTTTGGCAGCATTGTCACTAAAACCCTGCTGAGTGAAACTTCAACCACGGTCAATGTGAGACATCTAGTGGCAGAAAAGGAAAAGTACACTTTTTTGTTTTGTTTTTGTTTTGTTTGTTTTTTGTTTACCGTCATTTAAACAGACTCTTCCCTGAAGACTAACAATGTAATGTAACCTGCTTGCCCTGAGCAGCAGAGAGCTCGGTGCCTTTTCTGGCGGTATTTAATTAGTCACAGCAGCTCTAAAAGTTATAATAGCAGAATTTGTATTGTTTTAAATGCAGAAATGTTGCCGTCAATTGACAGAACAAGTGTGTAATTGTAAAACTACAATTACTGTTCCTTTCTGGACTTTTTTTCCTGTCATTTATGGTGTGCTAAAGCTACAACAGCCTATAGGCAAAACAAGAGCACAATGGCAAAAAAAAAAAAAAAAAAGGATTCACTGCGGCTCTTTCCCCTTATCTTCTTTTACTTTTCGTAACAGCACTGAATATTTCCACTGGGAGCCTTTTTCATGTCTGCCTTCACTCCTCTAATAATTTCATTGTCACGGTGCTACATTAGCCCCTTCTCCAGTGATAAAATGTTAAAATAAAAATCATTAAAGCTCAGTGATTTAGGACTCGTCTCACCTTGAAATAGCCCTGCAGGAAATTCATGTGTTCAAATAAAGTGTAGACGAATTTCGCCCAAGATAAGTATGCTCTTTCCTTTTTTAAAAGCAATGGCTATGTTTTGTGTATTTGTTAACCCTTTGTCACATACGTATAAATACTGTATGTTCATATTTGTACCTCATGTTCTGACAAACAAGTTTTGTTTGGGGTCATCATTGATTTCAGCATCTTATTCAACTTCTTTCAGCTGCTGCCTTCAGGAGTTACCACAGTTATCATCTCCCTCCATTTCACTCTATCACTACCAACCCTTTCGTGTCACACCAACCCTCCATCCAAGGTATTTAAAATCATCCTCCTTCACCTTACCTTACATCTTGACTGCTACACTTGTCTCCCTCTCATTCACACACATGTAATCTGTCTTGCTTCTCCTGATTTTCATTCCTCTTCTCTTCAAAACATACCTCCAACTCTCTAGGATCTCTTCCACCTGCTTCTTACAGGTTATAAGACATAATAGTCCACAGAGACTCCTGCTTACTTCATCTGTCAACATAACATAAGTCTTTCTTGACTAATTTACTACTGAAAAAATAATGCACTTTCTCTTTCTAGAGGTCATAAATATCTGCTATATATTTGTTAATAAAGAATAAAAATATTTTATGGCACAAGTATAAAATGCAGACTATTCATATGTATTCACATGTACTGTAATATCAAGTGCTTACCACAAGAGGGCCTCCTTGAAACATAAATGGATGACACTTCCACGTCTGAACAGCAGACCACCCACCCGGATAGTTTCATTGTAAACTAATTCAATCACTACTAATAATAGTCACTTCTAGCGTTTGTCCAGAGGAATTACAAAGTCACATGGTCATGTGCTCAGACTTTTACCTGTTTCACAGCCACTTTTTCACCGTGGGGCCTAATCCATGTGGGTCAGAAGATTAATGTGCAAAACCGACGCAATTAGTTTGCAGGATTATGAAATACTTCCAACTCACAGCTCCGACAAAAACAATGTAGTCATTACGGAGATTGGTGTCCTAAATGGGTGTGTTTGTTCTAGATTGCGATCTCTAATTCCCCATTTTCATCATTTTCGGGAAAAGCTGATAAATAAATCACCTATTCATTTTTACCTTCGCTCCAGATGACTCCCAGAGACTTTTGGGCGGTTTTGTTTGTTTTTTGTTTTTTGTTTTTCGAAGGGACTCCTCCCTTTCTGAAGTACACAACTCCACATATGGTCATCGTGTCCCCGCCCCACTAACCCAGGCTCCGAGTATCGTCTCTCCGCCCAGAGCGTGAGTCTGGCCTCGAAGATAACAGTGGAAACTGGGCAGGGTCTGTCTACACATGAAGGCACCTTGACTGCGTGCGCGGTGTGCTTTCTCTTCTCCGCGTTGAGAAGCCGTTGCGCTGATCGGAGGATTTAAAGTGAGCTTAAGTTGGACTCGGTGTGACATTTGTGGATCCCGTGGGCGTTGCTGCACTACAGTGGCTGTGTTGCTCAACTTTGAGAAGTATGTGAATTTGTTGCGACGGCTGAGACGGAATGCGCGGATTTGGTGGCTTTTCCTCCTGTGTTTTCTCTTCGGATATCGTCGTGACTTCGGTCCGCCTGCAGCCCCTATTCGCGTGTTTTGTAAGCGTGCAATCAATGGCAGTCATGCAGCATGATGTGGAGCTGCACCTCTGCTCCTAACAGACTGTTTACCTGTGTGGAAGGAGCAGAGTTGCACGTCGTGCCTTTGCAGAGGCTCCATGGGTAACCGCCGTGCGTAACGCTGGCTCTCCATGGAGGACTGGTGGAGAAGCCACTCATCGAAATCCCCACTTTAAAAAGACACTTGAAGAAAGATGAATCAAGACCAGGACGGGATCTCTTTAGCGGTACCTTCCTTTGGTGCTGGCCCCGGCAGAGAGAACCTCAGCGGGGAAAATACAAGCGTCAACAGCAGTGGTGGTGGTGGTGGTGGTGGTGCCTGTGGAATCCCCGCAGCCGGGACTTTTTGGCATGATTCCGGGACTGGAGGTGGGGGACTTAGCCCGATCTCCGGGAGCTGCCCCTTGGACACCGGAGGGTTGCTGTCCACCGGAAAATCTTGCAAAAGCAGGCCGGTGACAGTGGCCTATGTGGTGAACGGAGAGGCCAGCCAACAGAATAATCATGAGAGCATGGCCCTGCAGTGTCTGAAGGACGCTTGCGATTCTGTGGGCAGCAAGCTAGAGACAGTGAACTTTGGTAAACTGGATTTCGGGGAGACCGCCGTGCTGGACAGGTTCTACAACGCAGGTGAGTCAAGTGAAGAAAGGCTTATAAATCTTTCCACATCCACCCACAACAAGCTTCCCAAACCACCCTCAGCAAGTGAAAAGACAAACATTTTATAAAAGTGATTATTACGTGATTATTAGATGAGGTCATTTTTAGCCTTAACGGCAGCCTGTTAGGATTTTAGATCAATCCTCTAAATTGATTTTTTCGGCTTAATCTTTGCTCTCCATTATAATGATTAAGCCACAGTGGACCTCACTAAAGCTCAGTGACCCAGGAATGGCATTTAATTCATGAAAGAGTAGCACAAGAACCTCTCCCCTAAATTCCTTTCAGGGGCTCGAAAATCACTTTTACTGCATCACCTCTGTTGTTGGAAACTGTGCTGCAGGACAGGTTGCTCTGGACTCCCTAAATACATCCCATTGCTCTGCATGTCATGGCTTGATGTTGCTTCCTTTAGATCACAGTGGTATGTATACTTAAATGAACAAAGCTGGAACTCATTGAACAATAGTTGCTGAGAAGTTGTATCATTTGCTCCACTAATGTGGGGATTATTGCTAGAGTTCCCCCTCCTATGGCTAGTTTCCCCTCTTCCATTGTGGGGTTCAGCATTGTGCTTCAGTGTCACAGTTTGAGCCACAAGCCTGGTCTTTCCACTGGAATCTGCTAACTTGAATCCCTTGATAGAAAGCACTTTCCATCTCTAATTCATGTTGTATATGTAGCAGTTGGCTCTAAATACTACTGAAAAGGTTTGGTTAAGTCATGAAAAACAAAACTATAATGCACATGGCGGATCTCTCTGTTTGAGAGCCAGAAACAGCAGCCAGTGTTTGCATTTCATTAAGATTGTATCAGTATGTGTTCAGCAGATATTGTAAATATAAAACAGTGTGACACGTCAAAGCCTTTCAAACAGTGGCATCTCTGCAAATGATGCTAATTTTGTTTTGGGTTTTTCTTTTTTTTTTGTTTTTGAGGGGGGTTACTGTCAAACTCTGGTAGCCTAAAGACACAATCATTGCTTGACTCGTTATTAATATAGTAAAAAGAGTTTACCTGACAGGAGCTATAAAAAGATCAACATATATAAAAGTCAATATGCAGTATGCAGGTTTTTTTCCTTATTATAAAAGACCTAGAAAATTCCTAAAAGAAAATATCTGTTTTATTAATGGTAATTGCATCAGTGTTAACAGTAACAAAACTAAGATTAAGTCACTGGGTAAAAAAACTATATTTTTTAAAAACAAAAGCATCAATTCTGAGGTCACAGTGGTTAGAAGTCACTAATTAAAGGTCCATCTATTTTCTTAACCACTCATCCAGCTAAGCTCACAGGGAGCTGGAGCCAATCCTGGCTGACATTTGGTGAGAGGCGGGTAACTGGCCAGGTCACAATTCCACTCCCATTTGTACTTAAATCCACACCTATGACCAGTTTAGACCCAACAAGTTCCCAACCAGTTCAACCCAACAATAATATGTTTGCACTGTAGAAGGACACGCCAAGCTAAGGGAGAGTGTGTTAAACGATGCACTACCCAGCCGCCTCACAAATCTTAGCAACAACTGTCAAAAAGTAATGAAAATCAGGACACAAGGTCAGCAACCCCACCAAGGTGCTTATGAATATATTATAATTGTGCAAAATTTAGAGTTAAAATGTAACAAATTCTTAATATTATGCAAAAAGTAGCATAGAAAAAGTATATATAATAACATTTTTATCCAACTATAGCAATGTAGTGATTATAAACAGATAGAGCTGAATTAACCATATTTAGTTGCAGTAACAGCACTTATATTGCCAACATCAGAGCCTACTAGTGAAGGCAGACAGGTGTATTGTTTGTTCCATGCTCGACATGCTTCTTGCTTCTCATATTATTGGCTGTACAAACACATCATGTTCCCAGTGTTTTGTTTGGTCTTTTTCCTCTGAGCTACCGTGGAATTTTCTCATAATACACAGGGGAGGGCTGTGGCATTTTCCCAGACACACATTGCTATATCTGTTCACTCACACACCACTTCTTCATTATCCTCCTGCAGATGAAAGACCGGAAACAAAAAACTTGAGTGAGCTTGTTGGTTTCTGTCATTTGTCTGCTTCTGATACAATGAAAAGCTGTTCCTGACTGTCCTTACATGTCCTCCCCGCATGATGCTGTGGACAAAGAGGGTATTTGGCTGAAAGATGGCAGAGTCTGATTGTGAAACCCTCAGGACATGAAACACAGGAAGTGTAGATGCAAAAGTTTGGCAACAGTGATAGCTAACCGTATCTTATCACTGGGAATTTTGGTCACTACAGCCCAGTTATTCATGGAGTCAGAATTCAGATTTGAAGTCAGATTTGTGTAGCTGTGCCTATCTTACTCACACCACTGATCACATGATATTAACCAACATAAGTGGGGGGAGGAAAAAAAAACATGAGTAAGATGTGAATAGATTACATATGTACCTATCAGTGTTTTCAAAATTCAGATACGTATGTGTGGAATTTGTCACGGAACTATACGAGATTATAGTGGTCCTTGTTCTGCTCTGCATCCGCAGTAAATTTCACAGCAGATCTCCAAAGCAGAGCAAGGCCATTTGCAGTGCAAGAGAGTGGAGTTGGAGTGCATCCAACTGTGTGACAGAAGCCTCTCTGGAGAAGCAACTAATTAATATTGAGTTCAACCTGGCCAGTGAGCCAGTCTGTAGGTAAAACACAGGAGGGAAGGGCCAAGGTTGGTTTGCCAGCAGTGATCGGACTTTTAAAATGATAGAGAGCACGTTGTCTGCTAGTAAACTGATCACAGATTACGTTGTTTTCTCAGTTGGGTACAAAAATAAACATAAAAAAAAATTCCAAATACACATGAAATCTTACAAACAAACATCTGTGTAGAAAACGCTGAATTACATTTTCAGTAAATCATTTGTATTATGTGTCATATTTCTTTATAAGATGTCAATTTTGAGCCAAGTGTGAAATTAAGCAGCAAATGTCATTTAATCTAAAATTTAAAAAAAAAAATACAGCATGTTAGCAGATAATTGGGCACAAGTAACTAATAATTACAGAAAGGACAAAATCGGAGAAGTAAAATGTGAAGCAAAAATTCATACTTCATCATCCTGCTGATTTTGATATACACACAACTTTTATTATTATTATAACTATCGCAAAAAAGAAGCAGGTATGCCCTCACTGCCATGTTTCTCATCCCACTGCCTCTCCTGAGTAGCTATGCTGTAGATGGGTGGATATGAGGTTTCACTTGAATGGTTTTAGAATTTAGACCATTAATTCTATCCAAACAAATGTGCACATTTCTGTCAGCTAATTGAGGCTGTTGAAAATTGAATAACTTATTTAAAACATCTTAAATTTAAAAAAAAAAAAAACAGTCTTTATCTGTATCTTTTTTATGTTTTCTCAGTTCCCGGTTGTTGTTTTTAAATATATGCTTTCCCTTAGCCCATGAGATAATCTTCATCTGTCCTTTTGACAGGATGCGTATATCAGACTTCAGGGAATGTGTTTCCTTTATTTATTTATTTATTGTGATTAGCCTGATTCTCAGCCCCCAGTCTGGAGTACCAGCTTCAGTGATGGGCCATCTTATACTTGAGACACAAAGTCATCAGGATTCAGTGCTTGAGTTGTTTCTCTCTTGATATCTTTGGCAGAGGCTGAAGTGAAAGAAGCTTTAGCTAAGGACTCTGAGGCTGCTCACCCTGAGACAAGAGTTTTCTGTTTCAGAAGGTAGTTCAACTTAAACTCTGAGTCAGTCAACTGGGTGACAAACTCTAAGAATGCCACTTGCTCGCTGGCAGGTTTTCTTCTGTTTCTCTCTGACTCTTCCTCCCCTCCCGTACCTGAACCATCTGCTGATACTCCGATTCATTTCTTCATACATAAAGTCGCTATCAAAGCTCAGAGTGAAGCAAATTATTTGACAGGAGTTTCCATTTTTACAAACACTGAAACGTCGGTTAGATGTTTCTTCACCATTCTATGTAAATTACACGACTGCTTTTATAATCAATAAGTACAGAGACAGCGATCATATTGCAGATTAATTATGAGAATCCTGTAGCACTTATAGTCTCCATGTTTCTGACTAGTTTCTGTGTTGTAATCAGTCACACTGATGGAAAAATGACTGTCACAGTTGGACCTTGGCGGTGATGTGAATATCTGCGTAAAGTTGAGGCTGAAATGACTAAAACAAAACTAAATGTATTTTAAAGTTACTTTTTAAATGCTGGCTTCAGACGTTCTGACTGTGAGTAAAATAGTTTCAGATTCAGTCATTAAATTATGTCAAACAACAAATTCAAAATCTGAACTTGGACATGTTTTCTACTGAAAATTGCCTAAATCAGTCTCACAAACACATCAAACCAAAAATATATGTAAAAGATCAGCAAACATTCTTGATTTAAAATCTTTCAACCTTCTAAAACAATACTAAAATATCTTAAATTTATGAGACCAGAGTCTACAAAAGCTGAGACATTTTTTATAACATGTTTGTAAAGATTTATCGGTAAGTCATTCATTTAAAAAATGTGAATTTGTAATATTAGGCTGCCAGGAACTGAGTAAAACACCTCTGCTACAGCTATAAGAGAGGCATTATCTATGAGTGATGGCTCATATTAAATCAAATTAGAAATGGTTAAATTGGGGAGCATTAAAGCAGAGGTTTTCTGTAAATCTCATTAAGCATTTTTATCCGGTAATGGCAGAAATAATGAAATTCTTTATGAGAAATCAGGTTTAAACTTCCCTGAATTACTGAGAAAATGCAGTGGCCGTAGACTGCTGCAAAAACAGTTTTTATTTAATAAAGACTGACTTGCGGGTGGATTGTCTATAGCTATCTGGGTAACAAATATCACATGTCCATCACTAAACTGTGTCTCTGTTTCTCCATATCTCCAGTCACATACCTTTTCTTTCTGTCAAATTACACCTGAATTATTAGATTTAATAATTAAATGACAAA